TCATGTTTAAGAAAGTTCAAATTTCGACACAAATAAGTTGACTTACAGGCCAACCCATCCTATCAGCCAGATGTTTCTAGCTATTTTAGTTTTTTAAATCTCAGGGCATCAATTGATCTCCCACCTGAGCGAGAATATTCAACTTGCCGCGCGGTTGCGTGTTAAAGACCATGTTGTGCAGTCCGCAGTCTTGACTTTTCAAGATTCAAAACAATTGGGTTCTTAAGCTTGACCATGAACTTGCGCGGAATATTTCGTCCAGGCTAATTAAAGATCACTCCGGCATTCCTGACGTCATAGAAACGTCACACCATAATACCACTCCATTGGCCATCTACTGCTCAATGCCACACGACACATTATATTCGAACTATTCGTGTCAGGTGTATGCTAGCACGATTTCTGACATCAGCTGACTGATTGGCCGTGAACAAATGGATCAAGGTGATGCGCTTCATGCAAGTTTTGAACATAAACCACGTGTTGTGCTATATAATACATAAACTTGGACAGTAGTACCAATAACGACGGAAATCAGACAGTGAACAGAATAGCTAAGAATAGCGCCATAACCAAGTATGTGAATGCAAGTGAACAGTATAAAATCACAAATATATATGCATTAACACCAAGAGAAAAGGCCAAAACAAGCACCCGCAACGACATTTGCTTTTGCGAACAACACACCGGTTAGGACGACATCTCTCGAGAAGTTCAGGTACAGGGCCGTGCCAGAAGTTGTGGCACGTTAAACTTTCGCTGTTAAGTTCTGCCTTTGAACTTTGGGTTCACGATCGGGCGGTGGGACCCCGAATCACACAAAAACACTGCTTAGCGTAAAGTGCGAGCCCATATCACAATCCAATGCCACAATCCAACAATCCAGATCACAATGCATCCAATCACAAACGTTTGGACCAAATCAAAAAACACCCATCGTAGCCATGGGAATAACAAACCCCCAGGCCATAGCGTGGCAAGCTTCCAAAAGACAGTCAAGAGCCAGCTGCATGCCACCACACTTGCTCCAGAGGTCTCTGAACTGCCGATCGTCCCAACCGTAACGAGCCATTTGTGTTTTGCGGAGGTGCAGCACGAGTGTATTTTGCATTATTACACATCACAGAAACCCAGCTGTCACCGGAAGTACGAGCACAATTCAGAAAATTTAAAACAGTGTCACTCGCATTGTTGGTTTATCTCAGTATCAGTACGTCATCGTTACATCAGCTTTAGAAGAGGCGGAACCGTGCGGATAATATTATAACGGAATGCAGTATATATGTATATATATATATATATATATATATATGTATGTATATATATATATGTATATATATATGTATATATATATATGTATATATATATATATATATATATATATATATATATATATATATATATATATATGTATATATATATATGTATATATATATATATGTATATATATTCAGAAAATTTATATATATATATATATATATATATATATATATATTCGTATTCACATAAAAGAAATGGGAACCTGCCGACGTGTGTTTGGTTTTGACCAAGCCTACTGGCAGCTACTACAATGTTATACTGATTTTAGGCTTTTTCTACGATGCGCATGACCAGCAGGATCATTAGCGCCGCATGTTTTGCGCCGATGGAAGCGAGAGACAAAACACCGGGGTCGTGGCTGGGCTTGAACCCCCGGCTAGGGCACCCAGTCGCGTGCAAGCCCCCTGTCTACCGAGCCACCCCGATTCCCGTCAGCCGCTGATAAATAGCGAGATCCTGAGACAGTGTGTCATTTTTATCTTGTCGCAATATGTCCTGTATCTAGGACCTTTGAACGACTGCTATTATTAGTGCACGAGGTGCAGATTAATGTGATCATTAGGACGGATCGCAAAAGGCCGTTTTTCTTAATGTTTCTTCAGAATAAATCCGTCCGTGGTGTAGAGTTTGCAAGAGATCGAATAGACAATCATGGCGAGGTGCGGCGAGGATGAAGGATGGAGCAAGAAAAAGGTCCGGTGTGAATGGGTGTTTGATGTGTTCTAGACAGGGCCCACGGGTGTTTTAAAAAAGTTACGTATACTTGGGAGTGTGAACGCCTCTGAATACTTCAGTGTGAGTAGTATGAAGATAGCTTTTATCTGATGTAGACCTCGGCCACGGGTCCAGCTATTTCGTGTCAGAACAGTCTTGAGTATCACATCATTATGGTGTTCATAATGTCCTCCTTTTCAAAACGTTTTTAATCATCATATCATCCACGTGAAATCATGATTATGTTTGCCACGTTCTCCACCAGCACCAGTATCATCAATAGCATTATCATTATCAGCCCCTTGCTCATATTGTGTGTCTATGTGAATATCACTGAATGCCCAGTGGGAGCTCAGTGATTGTCCTATGTTAAAGTTAGTGTTCCACATTTGTATGAAGTTATGAACTGAATTAGCCATGTTGAAGGTCATTAGATGCAGTTCACAGCCCTGTCCTTTTTAGGACCCAAAATCCTCTAGTTTCTAAGCCACACGTTCGCGAATATGTGCGGGCTATTTCATGCGGACTCTTTCAAGGTTACCCAGACATGCATTACGCCAAAATAACGCCGTTCAAATCTTGTCATTCTACCGGCCATGCGGCGTTCAAAGTCAAGATAAATATAATTGTCGATTCGTTGGTATGTGGCGTTAGTAAGCACGATTTGTAGACATAACGGCCGTCAATTGGCTATCAATTAATGTCAAACGGCCGTGCAAAATTCTAACACAAATTACTTGTGCTTAACATTACAAGCCACACATTCTGCCCAGCTATTACGAACATAAGACTGGTAATCGAATAACTTAAGAATAACGCTTTAACCGAGTATGTGAACAAAAGTAAGCACCTTGAACTCATGAATGAATATGAAGAACACCAGGAGAAAGGACCAAAACAAGGGCACCTAACAGTGTTTGGTTTCACACATATTCAGCACCGACGCGAGATGCCTCTCGGGAAATTGAATAACTGCGAGTGCTGAGAAACAAACATTCTATGACGCAATTCGATGACGTATTGAGGAGTAAATTTACTACGGAGAGAAGTTTTGTTGCCTAGAACAGTGTTTTACAATTAAAGGTAAACCAACAGGTATAAGTAAGCTTATTCATCGCATGCGGTGTTTGCTTAAACACCTGCAAATGTGGACCATTGGCTTTAGTGGTGAAGCGAATAGCGGGCAAATCCGTCTTTCTTAGGTTCATCCAAACCCAGTTATATCTCGATCTTTGCTAAAGACAGATGATGCATCCCGACATTCCTAATATTTAATTTCCTGCTGTCCGAGTCACCGCCTCCGCCCATTCCTGAAATGTATGGGCATGACATGGCGATTCTCCGAAACGCGTTAGTCACACTGTCATGGATCCATGCCATCTTCCGCTGTCACGGCCTGGCATGAGATAATTCAGTGACATTTTTATTCCCGCAGTAATAGATCGTGGTGAAGTTCACAACACAACGCGATTTGAGCGATGACGAATTACCTGCTTAAATATATATTACGTCTCTTCTTTGTCGTGTTTGCCTAATCATGCGTGAAAAGACAAGCTCGTGTATGTGTGTGCATATTAAGGAATTTTATTCAGTAGGCTCAACTATACTGTTACAGGTGCGAGATCATGGTCAGACGCTTCTATAACACTTAAGCCCAACACACTTTCCTGTTGATGTTGTTTCAAACCGGCAACACGTCTGGGACGCATGGGGAAACAATGTGCCTGGTCAGTTGCGTTTTGGTTGATTGACGACATCACCCGCACTTAAAGTAAACTTGAAAGCAAACATCATCATAACTTCGTTAAGTTTAGTGTTAAAGTTAACAAGTCAAAAAAGCCATCGTGTAAACTAAGTGTAAGCGTTGACATTACTTCGAAATGCTCATTGAAATGAATGTTAAGTTAACTTTATCACGAACTGTCCGAAATCAGCACTACAGGTATCTTGGCAAGGCACGGTATTCCCGTGTGGCAATCTGTTTCTGAGGGTCGGGGGCGTTTAAGGGGTCCAACATGCCTGTTGCACACTCCAGTATATTGTGTGATGCAGGGCCGGTGCGCACCCCTGGCCATCCCAGAATCTCCACCCCTTGCTGAAACATCTGCCTGATCTCCACCCTGAAGTCAAAGCGCTCTGACCCAGAAAAATACGGGCTACCCCATAGGCATATGACATTTATGTATGAGAGCAATTCACTTCTTCTAACTGATCTAAATATCCTGCATTTGTCAGCGTCGTATGATCACACGGATCATATCGCAGTGCAGGCGATTCTAAGCCCATGACGATCTTGCATCTGCGTTGACTGGAAACCTGACGAGAGACGAGGGAGCGCACGGTGATGCGCATCAGCGAGTGGGCACCTTCGATTCCCACCCTGATACGGGCAGTTCGTCATAGCTTACATTAACTGACCTTCGGAAAGTTACCGCAACAATGTTGATTGTGAGAGGGAGAATGTGGTTGAGCAGTCTCTAGCAGTGGAGTGATGCAGGAAAGCGCAATTGTAGCACTGTGGGATCCTCATGAGCTTCAAGGAATCCCCCGTTCTTTCCATGGCGTTCAGAAATGGGTGGACAGTGCATCATTATACAATGAGTGCGAAGGAAATTATGCTTACAGTTCTGATGGTGATAGTCGTGGTGAAGACGGCGGCTATGATGACCGTGGTGTTGTTACATTGATGGAACCGTTTTGGCTCGAAATAGCCGGGATACCATCAATGACAAAGTTTCACGTCAGACGCAACGCATCTTTTTGTGACCCTTGCAGAAGTGGTCGGGTCTCAAAGCGATGGCAGTTCTTCTTGTTTTTACGTCTTCTTGACGCTTGCGGTTCGGGGTACATAGCATGAATGATATGAATATCTTTCAAGAAAAGTCATTTTCGATCTGTCCTTATGACCATCTCTTCGTTAGCATGGACACCGGTCTCAGGTTTTCTTTGCAACCAAAGCTGGGATTTCACTGTTCCTGACGGGTGTAGTGCAGCCAGTAAACGACGTTGAACACCACAAAAGTCGTCGGGAATAGAACTTTGGATATGTTATCGATAACGTTTCCCTTCTTGGCGTGGAACCGTTTTACAAATCCGACCACGAAACCGCGCGCCAGGGATGCCACCGACGGCTTGCCATCCGCCTCGCTGATGACGATGATCTTCGGCTCGCGTTTGATGTTGGTGCCCAGCGGGTCGATGTCCGGCGTGATTGTCGCCACCGGCTGGAGCACCGGCACCGGCTTCTTGTCGTCGGCGCTGCTCGCCAGGACGATTTTGAAGTTGAAGGCCAGCGTGAATTCCACCATGGCCAGGAAGACGCCGACGATACAGAAGAACATCCAGACGTCCATGGCCTTCATGTACGAGACGGGCGGCAGAGAACGCTGCATGGTGGTGAACTGGGTGGCCAGCGTGAGGAGTGAGGTGACACCCAGCGACACACGACCAGGCACGTTCTCCACCGGTACCCAGAAGCTCAGGAACGACACAAGCACGATCAGGATCGACGGCAGGTACATCTGCACGAAGTAGTAGCTGAACTGGCGGTCGAAGGTGAAGTCGGCCTGCACGCAGCTCTGGTTCAGGTAGTACGAGCCCTCGTAGAGGTAATCGTAAGAGCAGCTGCTGGGCAATACTGAGCTCAGCGTATACTGCGGGATCTTGAACTTGAAGTTGTCGAATTGAATGCCCGGGGCTTTGAACGAAGTGTTGACGTACAGTCCGTGAAAGGCGTATGTTTCGACTGGAAGGGAGCATACCTGCCTGTCCAACGGAAAGTTGCGGAAGTCGAATGCACAGAAGTTGGTCACGGTCAGTCTCTCGGAGAAGAAGAGCTGAGTTTTTTCCTTGTTTAGCCAAAGACCAGCGTTCCTACGGACGACGTAGTGCCGGATTGCTTTCTTTCCCTGTGCAAAGAATATGTCGGGCATCCAGATTTTGTCCACCAGTTCTTGGTCGACAATGATGAAAGGGCTGTCTTCGCAAACTGGGAATGTTATCCTAAAATCCGTCCAGTACAGGTGAAAGTACATGTCGACTGTGAAGTCTTGTCTAATCTCGTTGATTTCCGTGATGGAAATGATCCAGAATGTTACGAAGATGTTCAGTTGTTGGCCTTTGGTAAAAGGTGGCATATACTTGTCATAGTTCGCCGGCAAGACGTTATAGATGGGCTGTACCCGACACGTGCTGGCATTGGCATTTTCCTCCGCAGTGAGCCTGAAACGGAAGGAAACACAACCGATGTTGCAATTTAAAAAATGCTGGTATCAACTGCAGCTCGCAATGAACGGATGTCAGCCGCTGAACATAACTATCAGGTGTGGTGGTAATGAGACTGCAGCGTAGGGAACACGTGACATCATGTGTCAAGTAATGAATGAAGCCTGGCTAATGAATCGGTTTAACTATTTCTTACCGTGCAACATCATGCCACAGGATAGTTACACATTGGAGCTGTTAGTTTTTCACGCGATCAACATGAACTGCATTGTAAAGGCTTTCACGGAATGGATAAACCCTTTGATAACTTTAAAGCCTTATCTGATCTCGACGGTTTCCGTACAAAGATGATTCAGGAAGGTATGCATTTGGCAGTTGACTGTTGCTAGTGCTACCACACGTATATATTGGGCAATAGACAGATTTTGGTGCGAATTGTGGGACAACGGTGCGCGTGGGCTTAGAAAGGGGGTTAGAAGCTATCGGTTTGACCTAGACTTGGGAAGAGGGTTAGAAGCTATCGGCTTGACCTAGACGCTTCAACAAATAGCACATATTGTTACCGACTGTGCTTGCTCTGGTCCTGTTTCGGTACATACCCACAACTTTCGCAACAAGAAAAGCAAAAGCAACATGCCTAGGTGCAAAGGTATCCCAATATATATCACAGTATATAAATAAAACCTGGGCAGTTATGAGTGGGTACGTAACGGGTGGATATGGCTGATAACAAATGGACAATTAGCAGGTGAGCCCGCAACTACATGTGCAGGCAAAGATTATCAGGCGTCCAATAGCCCATATTGACAGGCTCGCACAGAAAATCCCAGTTGCAACAATTACTATGTAAACGGAAGTACAAACTTCCCGTTCTTTGCCGATTTTTTGACAGGCTTATCTGCTGTATAAAGACACACATCGCAAACGTTAAAACCGCACTAGCATTTGCCTGTACGCCCGCGTTTATACAGCATGAATATTTGCCGCAGCAGCTGTTTTAGATTGCCGACCACGTGGTGTAGGGCTTAAGATCGAGCGCCTGCGTCCCGTGGTACCGGTTTTAAGTGCCTGAGAAAACGAACTGTTTGTCTTACTATAGCATGAGGGCCGTCTGGCAACTGACTAGAGAGGGTTACCGTGGCAACCGTGGTGTGGCACCGCATAGCATGAATAAGACTCCTCCGCGACCATGTCTGGCACGAAGACCAAGAGCGAAGTAGTCCGTGGGTCTGGAATTGCGTTACTGGGCAGTGCGCCCACAGTGTACGCAACAAGCGTGCTCAGTAGGTGCTCTGATGCTGAAAGCGCCAACGCAAACCACTCCAATACGAATTTTAAAAGAGAAAAGGCCGAGAAACCACTTACCATACCATACCTACATATCATTGGTTATCAACATTGGCTGGCGTCATTACGTATTTACATCTGGAAATTGTGTAGGTAGTTTCGGTATAAATAGTCTAAACACGCTCAAAAGTCATCCTTTCCCTGTCGCAAGATGTTGTCCCCAACCGCCGAGTGCACACTCTCTCACCAAGTGATCTGAGAAATTAGCCAGTTTGGCCATCCGTCATCAATACTGATCGTGCGAGGATGATAGTCCGAGTAAGCCATGAAGTTTCCGTAGTGGTCTTCTGCATTGGATTCTGAAGAAGAAGACTTCCAAGGAAACAAGGTAGCGATCTGCCGACCCGCAGAATGAAGTTTTGGAAACTTGCTTGCATCTTCTGCTGCATTCGTGGCACATTTTGTATTTTCGTGCTTCTGGCAGTCACCAAGCAAAGACTACACAAGAACAGCTGCTACATTGGGGAAAAGGCAAGGACGTCGTCCAACGTCCGGCAGGCGGGCACGGCTCCATGTTGAAGCAAATTTGGGGCTATTCAATTCCAAGGTAACTTGAGAAGTTAGCTCAGGCACTTCGATGTACAGTAGTAATGGGGCGCTTGTGTGTGCGTTTACCATTGTAGTGTTTTCCATTTATTTTATCGGCGTAATGTGCGTGCACCGTAGGTGTAATCATATCTCTGAGATTGAAGGGGACAAATGAGAGTAGAGAGGAAAAATTAAAGTTTAAAAGCTGTCTGAAAGCCTGCCAAATTACGCTTTGAAAAGGGAAAATGTGATAAGCGTGCATTCTGGGGGGAAAACTGGAGAAGATGTACTGGGTTTGTGTGAGAAATGGAGTGGAAATGTCAACCCCCCCCCCCCCCCCCACACACACACATTGGTTTACACTCATGCGTACATGTACCAGACACTTGGCCTGGGGGTCGGGACGCTCTGGGGCCCGGCTGATGATTGTCTGCTTGTTTGTGGCAGACCAGTTTAAGGGAGCAATTCAACGACCATCGCGCATTTTTGACAACGCATCCTGCGTCGCGACCACATGTCGCATCCTGTGATGGCAACACCATCACAGAGTTCACGACGACGCCGTAACAATGACCCGGCACTACCTTTCCCGAAAACCGCAGTCTTTCCCTGTGACGTCCTCACAAGCAGCGCCCCCTTCCAGCCCGCACGCCCCCCCCTCCCCAACCCGCAGCTTGGGACCGTGCGTCTACTCACGAGTAGGTGCTGTATCCCTCATCGGCAAGGCAGAGCAGCTGCTGAGCCAGCGGCCACAGCAGGGCGGCCCACAGCGGCACCCGCATCATCAGCAGCAACCGAGCGAGCCCGCCTCGGCGACGACGCTGTATGCGGGCCGCGGTCTCGGCTGGGTGCGTTCTCACAGCGTCGACTTATAGCATGTTCGGGCCAGCCGGCTGTCAGACGAAGACCCCGGGCTCGACAAAGAGCTGACGGATTACGGAGCCCCGAAGCGACACTGCCGTCGTCGCCGGGGCCTGTCGAGACAGTGACCGCCTCCTGGTCCCGACATCCAATGTCGTGAATTGATTTTGAGCTCATTCGGCTCGTCAGACGCATAACCGGACGTGACGATCGCTTTCCACTGATAAGCATCGCAATTCTTTATTGCTCACCAGAATTTCGTCATTGGAACGCCGCAAATGGCCTCATTCTATGAGCAAACCCGGTTAGTACCGCCTTTGGTAGCCTCGTGTTGCGGTGAAAATCTATATTCGTTTCGCCTTGATCATCCAAAGACCGCGTTGCTTTTGCTTCGGGTTTTCCAAACTACAAGCTGCATTCTTGAACAGGGCGACAGCTAAAGGTGCTTCGCACTGATTATGATCAATGCCAATCATAGATCACAGACCACGTTTCAGTTATGGCAGTCAGTACACCGCCCACTGTGAACCCATGCACATACCTCACACCTGCATTTACCGGCGTATACCTGCTATTCAGGAATGCATGTACGTCAGGTCGTCGGGTTGCGTTTCACACTGACTGTGCGACTGCCTCAGGCTGGCTGGTCACTTCATGAATGCAAACCTTAACGAACTGTACTTCAGTTGAAGCGAGCATTGCATATTTGTGTAGGGTTTTGAACTGATATGACCATCTTGAAGATAATTCAGTGCAGTTCACAGACCTACCCTTCTCAAGATCAAAGCCCCTCTTATTTCTGAGCCAAACGCCCGCGAAGATGTGCAGCGCTTTTACGAGAAGATGATTTCAAGGCTATCCAGGCATCCATGACGCCATAATAACGTCATTTGAATTCTGCTGATTCATTAGCCATGCGGCGATCAAGGCCAATAAAAAATAAAATCGTCGATTCGTTCATATCTGGCGTTCGTAAGCGTCCAGATACAATGGCCGTCAACTTTCTCTCAATCAGGTTTGTGCAAAGTATGATGACGTTATCAAAATTGACGCATTGAAAAGTACACTGAACAGAAAAATGGTGTGTTCAATCTGATGCGACAGTCTAAGTGTTCAATCTGATGCGACAACGAAGCATTAGGCCAAGCTATTCATCGCTGAGGAAGTGTCTAAGGCAACAAAACAATTTAATTTAGGATGACAACTAATTCATTTGACCTGCGTCAGGTATGAAGGTATATTTATTCAAAGGGCATAAAGGGTAGGGTATTCAAAAAGACATCCAGGGTAGTGATAACACAAATGTGGAACACATAAAGTTAGAGCATCGTGGCAATGTGTAGGTTAGACTTGGTCCAGGTCAGAAATGTTAATTGCCGCACAAGATTGCAGCTCACGGCCTCACCATTCTTGTAAGTTACATCACCACCGCATGGAAAGCTATATGATAGTTGGCCAACTACTTTTCGTTGTCAAAGACGCAAAGGTGCGGTTCCTTGTCAGTGGTTTGTTTGAGTCCGTGGCAGTTAAGGTCCACAAGCTATATCGTTGACTGGAACAGGGATCAGTCTGTCTAGTGTCAGCCATGACATATATGGAGAGGTGTTGATGTGCGCGTGAATTTGCTGCAGAATTGGCCCACTTCCAGGTTGAGACGGTCGGTTCCCCATCAAGCAAAACTTACCAGAGCAGCAAACAATGTCGACTGTTGCGTGCTAATTAATTGTGAGTCTGCCAGATGCGAAGGGAGTGGCAGTGTGAAAACCAGTATATATCACCAGTGGAACCCGAGAAGACAGTGCAGGGACCTACGAGCAAACGTGAAGAACTCAGGACTCATCAGTGGAAGGCCCCTGCGCGACCAGAGGGTTCGGGGGACGTAGGGTGCCCTGACAGGCTAACAGACATGGTCTCCAAATTGAGCGTAGGGTACTCCGCAAACGTGAGAGCAAATAATACGAGCAGCGCTAGATCAAAGTAAAAGGGCCCTCAACATCAAGAGTCAACTTATAGAGCTCCGACAGCAACGCAAGCACCCCCCCCCCCCCTCCTCCTCGAGCAAGCAGGACGAACCCAAGACCGGTGTGAAGGATCCCTAGCTATCCCGAGCGCTTAGGTACTGTAAGTTACCAGACCACTGGCAGCCGACCACTAGCCCTTGGAGCAAATGGAAAGA